TTACTTGACTCCGTCCCCAAAACATCTAGAGCTGTTGCTAGATTGGCCCTCAGGTCAAGTGGACCTGACGTTGCGTGCCATGCACTCTGTACTGAACATCCGTAGCTCAGTGGACGGAGTTGACCTATACCACACGTCGTTCAGGGATTATCTACTCGACCGGAGTAGATCACATTGTTTTCACATCGACATCAACACTCAGAAACATGCCATCGCGCAACAATGGCTCCGGAATCTCTCAACAGGTAAAATAAGGACTTACAGGTATGCACACGCCCTCTAGTGCTTCAAATGTCAGTTTTGTTTTGATGCATATCTGATTTATAGCAACAACCAACTCTACGGCGAGGGTACGACTGCCTTCTTTACACAATGGATACGGTTCTCCACGTCGTTCACTGAACTACCGCAATGTTTATTGGATGATCTACAAAATGTTGACCTCGCTGCGACATATCTGGTGATGAGACACCGGCATAACAGCCAACGGACCTGGGCACAAACATTCTGGGACCTGCAAGTGAGGTTGGCGTTCAGGAGCCGAAATGTAAGTTATCAACCACTGATTCCACCCTGATTCCTTATGCCGCTCACTGTGCCTCTTTACCCAGGAAAACAATATAATCGAGCACAACATGCAAAAATATCAGGCCCTCCCTGAAGGTTTCCATCTTGAATGGTCGCCAGGCATATCTCCAAGATTGGACATCACAGATTGGCTTGTTCGAATAACCACAGGTTGTGATCGGGTGCCCCTTCCAGTCCCGCCATCTACTATTGCCGAACTACCACGCCTCGTGGATTGCCATTGTAATCTCGCGAGGGGGTTAGATTCGTGTGATCCAGGGCACGTCGCATACCAGAAAGCTTGTGTGGAATTTGTCAAGTCTCGGATTTTTCGTTTCGAGCAGCTTTTAAGGGATAGTACAACAAGTATGATCTTCTTCAATTTGCTTGAGTTGCACCAGATCTTTCAGGACATGCTACAGTCATCAGTCCTGAAACACTGTCGCCTTGATGTAGAGCTTCTTTCGCTCTGCAGGAACTTTTTGGAACTCGCGCAAGGTGGACCGGTGGACCTCTTTCGTTTCTCCCACGCCCCGAAAGGAGAAAAGGATATTATTGAGTGGATCGAGGTGAGCAACGCGTTTCCGAACTGATTTCTATACCAACTCCTCATCAAATTGGACCGGAATTGATAATTCGCCTCCCTATTAGACCTTCCCGGACAGGTTCGCTGAAGAAGCTCAAGCTTTGAAACAGCAGGTCCTGGCCTTGCCGTGGCAACAGCCGCCCACGGCATGGCAGTGACAGTGACGAGACAATCACTCAAACGAAGCCGGTTCCTTATCCCGTTCTTCTATCGGCGACGGTACACAGTTCAAGCGTACTACGTGCATGCACTGTTAGTCCAGGAATTTGATTGCCCTAGGAGACTCAGCAGTGTACACAAGCTAGTTTATTTTCATTTGATACTCTTCATCGCTATATATTCTTCGTGTCTTGATATTGGGTGTGGGCTTCAGTATACTGGATGCATATGGACCTACAAAACCTACAATATTGGCAGTGCACGTACATACTACACATTCAACCATCGTTGCTCAGAAGCCGCGACTTCGAATATCCCTCAAATGACTTGCATCACAAATGACAAACGGACGTCCCAAACCTAGTGGCGCCCCAGGCTATAGGTCCATGTAGGTCCGAAATATCTAGCCCGCAAGTTCGGATCTGAGAGGTCCCAGAATTCATATTGCAAGCGACTCTAGCTCTTGAACGCAATCACAATCTTCTGTGGCTAGTACGTTACATCTGTCCTATTCCCAGAACAATATAAGTACCATATCGTCACGGGATGCGCGCCAAATATTTCATGTAAACAAACATCTCAAACCACGGTCTATATTCGATTGATGTGAAGCACTAATCAGCAAGGGCATCTGAGCCACCCACTGAGGGAAGAAGGAACGCTAGAATGAGTCCGAAGGACTCCCATGAGGCTGGGGTTGATATAGCTCAACCCAGGTGGAATACTTGAGCATAACTGGTTCGAACGGCATATTTGAATGAGTGCGAACCAAACTCGAACGCTTAAACTTTAACGTGAACGACAACCAGGGTCTCGCTTGGTTCCTCACAGTGGGATGTCCGGTAGATTGGCCATCCTTGATTATAAGGCTTAGAATCCTTCAAGAGTTTCAAGCTCTTCCAGGGGTCAGAGGTTCGCGCCCATTTCAATTTGTGCTGAAGACTGTATGGATCGGACTCAATTTCAACGTACCAAATCGACTTCGCCGCGCTCCTGGAGGCACGAGGGATAGTGAAGTGATTCTACGTACCGACCAGGACATGGTACACTTTTGTGTCCCTCCTCCAGTGATAAACTGTTCCCGTGCAATGGTATCCTTCGTTCAAAGAAAAACTCAAATCCCGTTAGATTTTCGTTCGAATGACCCCTTGAATTTGTGTTGATTCCTCTTAATTCGATTGGTCAAATACACATGAAATCCATTGAAATTGGGGTCACAACAAATATAGGGCGGGGACGCCAGACCGATTCAACTTTCAAGGCGGTCAAAATGTTCAATTGTCAATTCGAGCGAACCTCATTCGAATTTCGAATGTATATCTCTGCATCGCCTGATATCGTATCATCGAAACCACGTCGACAGTAAGCAGATAAGCCGTTATAAGTGTCATGGAAAAAAAGAGAACGGAGAGCAAAAGAAAATCGGAAAGAGCCCAAGGACTGATAGAGCTAGGAGTGTCCATATTCGGTCGAGGACGTGCAGACCACTTGGGCGAAGAAAGTCAAAACGGAAGAGAAATTAGAGACAAATAGGTTACCAGCATTGCAAAGCAACGTGTCCTGACGGCGAGCCGCTGTGTTCGACCTCAGGTTGTGGTACAGTTAAGGTGCATGGGAATAGTTTGTACTGTGTAAGTCGAGCTGGGGTAAGTATCTGAAAGACCTGATTGTAAGTATAGCCGAAGTTCACCGATCGAGAATAGCATTCCTCTGAATCGCCAATGGGGTGAATTCTTCTTACCCAGTGGAGAAGGTCGAGGTCGTGAATGTGTTTGATTATTGACAGAAACGAGGCCTTTGTGAAAAGCGGCCCGTCCATCTTCAAGCCAAGCCTGCAGGGTCTGGGTCGGGATATATGACGATACATTTTTCATAGGTGAAATCGTCTACACCGAAGCTGGATGAGCCGCTGTGGGAGGGCAGAAGAGAATCAGTGATAAGTGTACACATTTTGAGAAAGCTGATCGGACGGCACGCACCCTAAACCAACCAAGCCCAGTGCAGATTCGGACTATTTGGTGCTCCCCTTGATGCTCGTACACCCAGCCCGAACGGCCTTGGCAATCTTCCTCGCCAGGTACAAGTCCCTCGTCCACACCGAGCGCCTTAGACTAGAGTCGGAATCGTTTGCCGCGTCAATAGCTTCTTGAATCGTGTCGACTATTGTTTGTACGAGCACTGTCTCTTTAACCACCAACCCCTTCTCCTTATCCATCCGTACAGCACGCGGTCCAACGATACCCCCATCCCCACTCCGTAACTGCGCCTTCCTGATCATCTCCATGACGTTCTTTACATGAGGTGCCGCAAACACTCGGATTGGGCTTCTCATTGTTCCTTTATCCCATAATTCCCCAACAGCTTCGATTAGTTCCTCCGTAAACTCCTCTACAACACCTCTCTGCACAATAGACCTCTTTGTTAACATCCCACTATGCACGGTCGCATCCATCAGAATCTGCTTGACCACCGACGATAATAGGAGCATGGTCTAAAACGATCGCAGGTGCCTTTCAACCCAATTCGAGAACGCAAGGTTTGAGGTACTTGGCACATTCAAGGGCGATGATTTCGCCTACACGGTCTGAATCCGTAAGGGTGACTTTACGGACTCGAGTATCAGTGATGATTCCTGCTGTGAAGGTAGGTGTGTCTTCCTTCCTGAACGACAGGAATTGAATACTCCGTCGGGTAACCCAGCTACTTTGAGTACTTTATTGAGCAGGAACGTGGACAGAGCTCGGACGCATAGATTTGGCATCGTTATTGCTCGGAGAGCTACGGCGACAGATGCGCTCCAGGGAGATTTGGCGATGACGCCGGATGGGTTTTTTTCGTGTAGACATCGATGGAGAGAGAACGGAATGAGGGGAATGTGCGGCGGGCGAGTTAGGTGGTGAGGGTGGAGGCGCTGGATCGTAAAAGCCCAGCTGCGGTAGCGTAGTCGAGCATGGTCATGTCAAGAGAGGCGCCGGTTTCTTTGGTTATGTAGGCGATGACTCGGTTTTTCTAGTTTCCCCCTTCGTCTCCTTCAGGTAACTCGGCAGCTCGGGTGAAGATGCGCATTCTGGGTGCTGGTGTTGATTCGAATTCAGCCTTTGAAGGCATTGTGCGTAGCGTAGATGATATCTTGGCAGTTCTGAGAGGATATGCTGGCGCAGGTACCGACCGATTTCAGAGATCCTGGGGTGAGGATGACGAACGTTTGGATGGTTTTGATGGGTTGACCGTTTAAGTAGAGCAGTGTGTACGAGAGGAATGTGGACATGGCTGAAGGTCAATTGGGATCAATAATGTTGAATCGATTGAACGGCTGCCGATGGGGTCGAGGAACATGACGAGTGGGGGAAAACATCAATGGCCTGAGTTGTGGTGAAAGTCAGAGAAAAAGGAGCCGGCCCGGGCCCCGGATCAAACAGTATTGGAACGTTTTTGGGGCGATGGAACATCTCCATGCTTCTCGAAACTATGCGATTTCTTCATAGCCAATTGCAAATTGTCAACAACCCGGCAGACTTCATTTTATGCCTTTTGCTGCGTCTCATGTTAACTCTGGTGTATTCGTATTGAATCCTACCCGCTCCCTTTTTTGCCAGTCTCCCCCAAACCACCCCAAAATAATGATCTAGACAAAATTACGTGCGCGTGTGCGTACTCGGGAAACGTAAATCCAACCCAGCGATTGAAGTACACCGTTCGGGAATCGAACCCGAGCCGCTTGCTAAAGGTTACCTATGCGAGATCATGGAAGGCAAGCATGATAACCACTTCACCAACGGTGTTCTAAAAGCCCTGCGCCAGGACTATCCATGATCAAAGTCCGAACAGAGATGTGGGTGCAAACTTCTGTGTCCGAAGCGCTCATTCCCGACTTCTTGGAGTTGAACTTCGACGACCGATTTTTTTCCCTTCAACTTTCCGAGCCTGAGTTTACTCTTTTCAGCTCAGAACGGATCACAGGGCGACCGATCTATGTACTGCTCCGAGTCGACAGTCTAAGCGTACAAAGCACTTTTCTATCAACAACATCACGTCGGCAGGCTCTGGCTAGTTTTCGTGTGCCGGCTGTGTATAAAAAGGTACGTCAGTGTCAAATTCGATTGCTCTAATCTTCGCTGGCCTGACCAAAACAACCCAGCTCTTCACCACGATATTCGATGTTCCTCCTCCCTCTCAACATCAAACACGGCCCATCGCTCTCCTCAAACAACCGAACGTTAGAAGAGCAGCATAACCCGGCGATGCGAGGCACAAAGAAACGACTCACCAAAATCGGAACCGACATCTTCGTTGGAATATCTCAACGCCGCCTGCGTCGCTGCTTCTGACCACTACCGTGTTGGGGGAAAGTCTGGCATCTCGAATCGAAACACTCTCTGTTACCCCCTTGAGCCGTGTCCAGTGTAGATGATAGCGGATGAAGTGGAGCTACGGTAGACGATAGAACGAAAGGTGCAGGTGCAGGTGCGTTGCCAGTGTGCAATGTGTTTGGCAGTCATCTTACTTTTTTAATGGATCTGGCGGGTCTGAATAAAAAGCTTTTTCGACAATTCGTTAGGTGATATGATCCAAGCTACGGACTTGGTCGCCGACTTTTTGCTCGCTCGCACCAAGTTTGGTGACCCCAGCATATTGCTTGTTGTGCCTTACCCTCTCGATCACAACAGAGGAGGGCTTCTTGTAAGGGAAACTCTTGTCATTCCCACTGCCCAACATCTCTAGGAAGACCTCGACGCAGCGAAGGTTCACCGTCTCTACCCCTCTCCATTCTACATCCACTCTACCAATGGTCCGTGATGCCGAGGCCGACGAATATTGTCCAGCTATATCCCTTACAACAAGATGAAGAGGTCATTACCGCGTCGTTTCTCGGTTCTCACCCCCGTTTTCATACACTCTCTATCCAGCAAGGACTCGAAGTCTGTCCCGTCCGGGACTGGCGAGCACGGGTTTCTATTATTTTTGGTGGCACTGAATCAGAAGGACGAGAAGACGGGAATGTGGTCTCAAATGCAACGAACGCGAAGCCAAAGCGATACTGAAACTGTTCGGGGCGGTGAAGCTTGGAGTTTGAAGACCTGCAACAAAGGACAAGTTCGTTCACATTCCCTCTCAATCTTATCGTTTCTTTCCACATACCCCACCTTTCGAGTGCTTTTCGTTGCCTATTTTCGTTCTTACTATGACTATCTTCCTACATGTTTGCTTATCCACCTACCTGGTACCTCCGTTTCAATCCCAACCCAATCCACGGTTTCCCCTCGACTTTTATTCCCTGTGACGTTCAACGAGCCCCAACCGATCCACTGATCCGTGTATCGTTTGATGGCACCCCTACACACCGATGCAACTTCGATAATTCGCTAGACATGGAAGTCGAATATATCTCTCAATCGACATATTATCAGATTCCAGATCCCTCCCCCTCTACTGGATTTTCTTTTTTTACTCATCCTTTGATATCGTACATATCCATTTCTATAATGGAAGGCCACTTCAACGTTTAACTATTAGAGACACCGAAATTGAAGTGCAAGGTAACCTCTCTTTTGTCAGTCTAGCTCCTGAAGCGAACCGCATGGAACTCTTCTACTCTCTGGCACGCCATGCGCACAGTTTGGAACCCATTCGAGTAGTTGGTCCTTCATCTTGTACCTTCGGTCCACGCGCACAATATCCTTCGCGTTCATGCCCGCTGATCTGAGGTGTAAGTAGGCGTGAGAAACTTTCCGGTTACTGTGTGTGCCTGCCGTTTCGAGCTCAAACATCGACTCCCACGATGTCGACGTTCTCCTCGATTAGCGAATCCCTCACGGCGAATACTGGACATTGAACACTCCGTGCAAGACACACAATGACCTGCTATTACATTCTATGATGCCCATATATCAAACCCAGGAATCTGGATTCTGAAGGAACACCGGTCGTGCAGGAAACTGAAGGCACTTGTCAGCTCGCCCAGCAAAAACTCGTAGTCTGCTGCATCCGAAGCGGTGTCTTCACAACCTTTCGATACCCACTCAAGAATGATGACAACGAATCCAACGAGCTTCGGAAGGGGTGGGAGGAGCTGGGGAAAGGGGCTCCAGTCGCGACAATGTAGAGTGAGAAAAATCCTCTTGAAACATCTAGAAGGCAAATAGACGGAAGATACGACACAAAACACTTTGCGTCTTCGTCTTCTGTTCCACGAATTGACGACTCGGATTCATTTGAATACTATGGTCGACCTTGACAAACAAAATTCTCGAAATGGCTAGTACGCGTACATCACGGTGCATGGTCCACTTGCATTCGCCTACGTGGCTGTTCTCCAGAGTACATGCTCCTCCAAACTCTGCCTCTTCACCGTACCGGTCTCCCAGCGATTCCGTCTAGACGTCGAGCTCTCCTGCTGTTGTGGTGTCTGTCGTTCAATACTCTTTCGAAATTCAAAACGGCACCTGTTTTGTCCGGGCATTGAATAGTTGGAGAAGCAAGGAAGGATACGGCTGCCATTCAAGGGCTTGTGTTATTATATTTTTTCGAGATGAGGAGCCGACGCGCAAGAGTGGTCGCTGGTACCGGTGAGTCAAGATATCTTTTTCGTTCCTTGGCATCATTCTGGACATTACTTATTTAGGGGAGTTCAAAGTTCCCCATCGGCATCCGCGCTGCAGCTTGCTTTTCAGCTGCTTTCCCGTTTACCCCGGTCGACATTATTGCATTTTTAGATCCTCCAAGCCTCCAAAAAGCGCACTTTACGATCATTAGTCCCTGAAATGCCATATCCTTGAGTCCAACTGAGGGGCGAAATTTCTGTTTGTTCCCTGCTCCTCACTCTGATCTTCCTTCTTCCACCAGTGATAGTGAAACCCGCAACGCGAGCGGGAAAGAGAACTTGGAACTCCCCTATTCTGACGGCTAGCTGGCTCCGACCATCTGCATCAGAGATCGAGCAGATGGAAATGTCAGATCAGGAGTCAACAAAAATCCGGCGCAACTTACGTCTACGAGCTCTGCGCATGCTTTGTTCGGGCGCAAACTCATACGCAAAATCGCCCGCCGTCTGATGTATCGATAGTCTCGTGGATCCGGGACGGGAGACTGAGGACTCTTTCGCGTGCTTTTCCCCCTCTCGACTAGCGAATGCATATTCGGATTCTCGCTCTCTCCGAATGGCCTTTGAGGAACCCGTTGGTCCTTCGAGATACAAGCTTTGCACACATGCACCTTGTGGTGTTTCGCTTGTCTTCCGTCACCGATTTGATGTTCATACTCACCATTTTAGCATCACTGCCGAGACCATACCAATCTGGGAAGAATAATCGTCGAGCCCCGTTCTTACTATATCTCCAAAGGGCCATCGGTATTGAGTATCGAATAATCTAGCTTCAGGAACGATTCCTTGAACCCCTGACTTGACAGAGGAGACAACGCGCGGAACCCGTGTGGCGTTCATCGGCACAAGCGCGTTCAATCCATTTTGTTACACCTCCAAGATTACGGTTCTGTAGACCTCTTGGGTGAACGGACCAGAGGGTTTAACCTGAATCGAGAGCATAGAGACGGCCCGGGCAAAGCCGACTTGAGTTGTGGATTCCTTTAAAAGACGAATCGGAGGGTGAAAGTCCCCTCATCAACTCACTCGTTTGTTGATTCTTCCGTCTCTACTTTGTATCTTTTGTCGTTCTTTTCTGAATCCTTGACCATCTCCAAAGATGGCACCTCAAGCTGCCTTCATTATGGCAGTCTCACTCTCACTCTCCTTATTATCATTTATACCTACTACAATGGCGGCAGACTGTAAGACCGCCACCGTTGGCTCACCCTACTCGACATGCTGGGATATCGCTGTGCGTCTTCCCAAATCGTTTCTCATGTCCATGGCGAGGAAAATAGCTCACTTTTCTACAGACCGCCGCCATGATCAGCGTCGACCAGCTCATTCAGTACAACCCCAAAATGAGCTGCACCGCACTGCAACTCGGTCAAAAACTCTGTGTCACTGCCGGGGACCTCCCATCGACTGGCCCGAAGCCAAACCCGGATGGGTCGTGTGCGACTTATACGGTAAGTTTGGAGTTGTTCTACTCTCGATCTTTAACCATTCATTACTCACTCTCGCTTTCTTTCTCATAGATTGTCAAAGACGACTACTGCGCGCTTATCGGGAGCAAGAACGGCATCACAGCTGCTCAGGTTGAGCAGTTCAACGTCAAGGTAACGTCTGAGTCTTCATGGCCGTTTTCCGCCCAAACGATAATGGAAAATGTTTTATCCACCAGACATACAAATGGAAAGGCTGCGCTGCCCTTCAAGTCGGTCAAACAATCTGTATCTCTTCTGGAACTCCTCCGCCTATTCCGAGTGCGTCCGTTTGTCCGCTTGTCTTTCCCTGCTTGATATCGACTGTGGTTTTTCAAGTCAATCCTGATCTCCAATGTGGCCCTGAATCTCCCAGTCGTGGTGATTGCCCTCTCAAAGCCTGTTGCTCTGCCTTTGGGTTTTGTGGTATAACCTCCGAGTTTTGCGAAGCTGCGCCTAATGGGGACCCTTGGTACGTCCTTTTACATCCTCGACACACCGTGTCGGCTCTGACCCTTGATTCCCCCCTCCTTTCTCCCAGTATCTCCAACTGTGGCTATGCGACGCTTCCCAAATGTGATGGCTCACAGATGACCCGAAAGGTTGGGTACTACGCCGGTTGGGCTGCGAAGAGGTCCTGTGATCCTGTTACGGTTGCTCAACTCGATTTGAGTGACCTGACTCACGTCATGTGCGTCCCTGTCACTCTACAAAT